CAGCAGCCCATTCAATTAGTCATGCCTGGAGCTGACAGCCTGATCACGGCTGGAGCCTTACTTCTTTTATTTGTCCCTTACAGGGACTGAAGAGTTTTTTACCCAGAGTGCATTGTGTCTCCACTCACATAATTTCCAAACTACTCGTACCTGCCGTCTGTCCTGCACCGAGCCACAGCTTTGGTGCAATGCTGCTCCAGCTGGTACGTTTGGGTTCTGCAGAGTACATTTTGCTGGCCGAGAGCCAGCAGTTGTCAACCACATTTGACATTATGAGATACAGACTCTCCATAATTTAGGCCTCTTACGACCATATTGTATTGCGTATGTATTTACATACGCAATACATACGTATTTACATGTATTTCTGTGGCTTTCATCTTTTCATTTAAAATAATTATTTGCAGAGGAATATGTCTCCCCGACACTGACACCTGGATCAGCTGTTTGATGGATTCAATTGCCTGTACAGTGTAATCCGAGACGTCACTCAATCTGCCAGTCAACACAATCGGGGCTGATCATACAGGGTGGTTCTGTTGTCATATTTGATAAGCAATCCATTTTTCATTTTTTGACTGTGCACTTATTACTTCAGCTGTGAAATTGGAGGAACTGAGAAGCATCAGTGCACATCATCCACCTGACTTTGTGGAGAGGTGAGATGTTTCATATTCCCCATTTATCAAGCAGGGACGAGTCTGGGCTATTAATATTCAGTGCGGCTATTTCATGTTTATACAGTACAGCTGTTTGAGCTTCATGGGTCAATACCCTGCTCTTTGGTCTGTAGACTCTGAGTGTGCATTATGTTGTGGTGAAAACCTGAGCACAGTCTTTGAGCCCTTTAATTTTGTTGCCTGTAATATTAATATTATTGTTATTCTCAGGGACAATAATCAGATTTTATTTTTTTTACTCAGAATTCGGATTTAATATAATTTAGTTGATCAGATCTCCTGATTTAAATTTAAAAATGTAATGTTAGTAACATCTTACTTGCAGAATCACAACAAACGTCTCTTAAAAGAACAAATAAACAATGTATTAGTAGTGCATAACACCCAGCTTAACAGTAACCTCTGTACACTCCTTGTGAGCAGCATTAAGTAACCACATCCAGCAGAATGCTGGAAGAAGATCACCTGCAAGAATTCTCAACTGGTGGCCAAGGCAAAACAATGTGGAGAAAGAAATCCGCAGTCTCACCTATTCATCATTCTCCTAATATAGACAAGTTCGGCTTTTAGTAAAGTCTGCATCATCAAAAAACTTCAGAGAAATTACCTGTAGTGTTTGCTTGAGTCATCTAAACCTAAATTAAGGCTTTGAGTTTGGAGCAGCTCTGTCCTGTGGCACTGTTTGACAAAGTCAGCCTGAAGCTCCATGCTGGGATGTAATAAAGCACAGAGTGTACAGCCCACTTCTCAGGGGAAGTGCCTGAAATATGCTGAAAAGGGCCATAGTTTGAAGAGTGGGAGAATTTGTTTAATAAAATGAAAATAATTGATTATTTCCCCTTTTCTCATGCATCATATTCAATTCTGCCCAAAGAAAATGAGGATAACCTAATTCAAACATGTGGTATTTATCACTCCTTAGAGCTGCATGAATCATAGCCACTTAGTAACGGTGCAAATTAGGACTCAACTGTTCCATCGCTAACACCATCTTCACTTGATTCTGTGATTCTCAGCGTTGACGTTCGTCTTTTTATTGTCTTTCAGCACTGGCATCCTGAGCGCTTTGTTTGTTCACAGCCCTTTTGAGGAACATTGTATCAAGAAGTGCCTCTTGGTCTAACAATTTAAAGCAGGTGAACCCACAGGAATGTTTCCATGCCAACGGCACACCGTAACATTTTCAGTCCACTTATTTTCCCTATAATCTTCGAGATGGATGTAAGTCCTGTGGGATGCATCTGGCAGTCAGCATGACTAGGGCCGAGACTTTGGCTCCCAGAGCATCATAACATCGGTCCCTGCTGATTTGGTCAGACCAGTGTTTCATACAGGTTTTCCATCAGTGCTGAGATGTGCTTTTAACTGCAAAAAGCCAACACAATAACTGGTGTCTGTGAGAAAGGTGGTACGATGTTAGACACACCACACACAGATGTAATGTTCTGCACTATGAGCAGCTCAATTTGCCAGCAGGTACTGTACATTTCTACCAGAACCTGTGCCCTCACTTGGGGACATTAATATGTAATTGATAATAATAATAAAAATAAATCACACAACAATGTTTCAAAGGCTCTGTTCTCATTCAATCTGTTATAATTTAAAATGCGCTACCATGTTGTTCATTAGTTTCCTAGATGGGGTAAAACTTTTGTTTGAATGAAAATGCTAGTTCTGCAAGAATTACAAAAGGGGGCGCTGCAAAAAAAGCGGAAGGAAAATACCAGTTCAACCCCTTTTAGTTGCATGTTCTCCCCATGTGTGCATAGGTATTTTCTGAGTACCCTAGTGTCCTCCTACAGACCAACAATACACAACTCTATGTAAATTGGACACTGTAAACTGACAATAGAAGTAAAGTTCAGAGTATACAGAGCAAAACAACACTACTGGGGATGTTTTATATGGGAGAGGTGAGCAGAGGAGCCCACCGTTGTTCATCTGTGCAGCCCTGCTTTCACATGTCACTGATGCTGTCATTTTGCACTGATTCATAGAAAGTGATATAAAGCTTAAGTGAATAAATGCCAGAGTTAGTACATATCAGTCACCATATCCTACTGAGGTGATGTAAGGATCTGCTAGAAGGATGAGGACTTCTTCTGCCCCCATGTGGGCAGAAAAAAATGCACACCACCATGTAAAACGTGTTGTTTTTTTTGTTCATGTTTTGCAAACTTCACAGACTGATTCCACTGCATTAAAGTAAGATATTTAATCACAACACAGGAAAGGATAACGTTCAACTTCTGTAAAACAGTACATGGCTCAGTCACTGCCAGTGACTGAGCGAAGTGAAGTGAGAAGGCATTACAAAACATTTCCTAAGAAAAACTCTCTGGTCTTACAGCAGTGCTGACGGCCCTTTTTTTTAAATGTTCAGGGTGGATGAAACTGACTCAGGAATGTGTCCTGACAGTCAGCCGCCTTGACAGCGATGTACTGAGGAAGCAGAATAACAGGAGCCTTAATACACAACTGAGAAAAGAATGAAGTGAACTGAACATGAAAGACAACACCTTGCACCACCTCCACAGTGGGCTGATGCAACACGGAGAACTTACTGTGCGAGTGTGAGTTTCACTGTGCCCAGACAGCCCCAGTCTGTCAGGCTGTGTTAATGCAAAAAGCTGCTCTCTCTCACTCTCACTCTCACACACACAAACATAAACGCCATAGTTAGTGAGCAGTTCATACATATTTGATATACGTACATATCCTGGATTTAGCATTGCACGCAATGTGGACTGCACCTCAGTTTTACAAGATAATGACATTTAACTACTCACATTATGGATCTGCATGTACTTCTACTACATCATGCAGTTCATTACCACGGCAGTTGGTCGTTTCATTTATGGTTTTCTGTCATGCAACACACATTTACTAACAGGTTAGTGATGTACTCACTACTATATAAGTAAATAAAATATGCCTTGGTATAAGACCTGAGACCTGCAATAGTCAAGAATGTCAAATGAAATGTGGTTAAACCCCAAAAAAGTGGAATCTGTTGACTTTTAAGCTAATTTAAAAAAAATAAAAAAAATAGAAGTGCAGTTAAAAATGTATCTTCAGTTGCAAGATATACCTACACTGTGCCTGTGTCTGTTCAACTTGAATGAACGCTTTTTACAACTTAATGATCTTTTACCGGACACCAGCTGACTGATTTTAATCTTCCATATCAACATTAGGAATAGGGCTCTACATATGAATACAGATAAGCCATTTACAAGAGACCTGCAACCGTGCCATATTTTAACGTCACTCGCCATGAATGGGGCTGCTGCCCCCTAGTGCCTCACATATGCACTTTAGACCGAGACCAGACAAAAAAAAAACAAAAAAAAACAACAGTAAATCCTTGCTAAAACTTAAAATGACCTCTCACTGCTTCTGAGTATATCTATTTAATGGTAACAAACGAAAGTCAGAGGCACTTTACAATTAACACTACAGGGAACCACAGAGCCTGCAGCAGTGATGCTTTTTTTCCTTTGACAACTATGTAAAAATATATGATTTGTTCTACAAACTGCCATATACTGTACAATTATATTAGATAATAATACTGTATTGTATGTAGTGTACTGATTTAGGAAACTGCATCCATGATACAGCACTCAGAAAGAATTCAAGACTGGATTTCTTGAAGCACCAAAAAGGGTGAGGTAGAGTTAGTTTCTGCAGTAGTGTAGTGTGAAGGAAATCCAGCTCTGTAAACTCTAACTGTAAACAAGAGCAAAAATTCAAGTCTGTGATCTAGTGTGTAGATTTAATCATCTGTGACAAAAGACCAAACCTAGGAATATCCATGTCAGTCAACAATAGGAGAGGTGCATGTTTGGGTGACACGTGTATTGGGCATTTATTGAAATAACGAACACATCAAACGGTGGTTTAACGCAGGACGCAACATTTAATTGCCAAATAAAGGATGATTCCCTTTTTAACAGGTTCCAACCCTGGATCCTGCTGAGCTTTACATAAAACCAGCCTCAACACATCTCAGATGTTAGGCATCGAAGTGGTTCTCTTGTCAAAACAAGTTGCATGTTCATGAAATACTTTTAATAAAGTTTTGCTATGCTTTGCAATCATTACAGCAACTTTTGAGTTAACTTTTCAAGTTGTAATTGTGTCATAAGAGAACCAAGGAATTGATTTATTTCCCCTCTATAACTAGAGGTTAAATCTGCTCAGATTCATACAACCATACACACATTCACATCATAACATAACAGTTAGCAGATGCACATACCATTACAGGCCTACTTTGAATAGAGCTGTATTAAAAAACACCACACAAACAGATCGATTAGGAACAAAAACATTTATTTGCAGAACTGATTTATCCAATCATGTCGGCAGACTTTCCACAGAACTCTTCAGTCATCTGTGGATGTTTCAGCACATAGTCTAGTCCAGCTGTGTGAAAAAAAAACATTGGTTAAAAATAGATGCATTGTTATTGTACCATAAATGTTGAATTTGTCAGTAGCATTATCTGGTAGCTGAATAACCCATCTAAGCATCACTGTAAGGATGACACTCATTCCTACATGCTGCATCTCTTAGGACATAGCAATTGACTAATGGAAATAATTACGGTGCCCTGGTAGAAGTTAGTTGTTGCAGCGTCAAAAAAGTTAATATAAGTCAGGGTACATACCTTTACAAAGCCGATGTCTTTAGCATACTGCCTGAAGCACTGGCGGCACATGTTGAGTCCGTATTTACGGATCAGACCATGTCTGTTTGAGCATACTCGGCTGGAAAGAAACAAAACAGTCAACACGATGATTCATTTTGGATGTTTTGTACGGTTGCAGTCTAACCCACTGAAATCCCAGAAGTACATCCATTGAGCACCGGGTATCACTGCGCTAGTTTGCATCACAGCTAACGTTAGCTTTGCACACGGTAGTTTAAGCGATAACTACTTAAACTAGCCAATGTTTGAATGTGACAGGACTCAAACTAAACACATCGTCAGGTTGCGTGTTGTAAGTTGTTTTTTGACATTACAAATACCCTTATATGCTACGATTCATCTATCTGTTGGGTTTGTATAGCCTTAAAATGTTTAGCCCGCACCGCACATCCCCAACCGCCATATTAGCTCAGACTCAGCTCCCATGCGGTACACCGATGATGATAAAATGTCAAACACAAAAGGCGTCAAACGAAACAAAACGACCGCATTTCGATAGACAAGATAATAACAAATATTTTTAAAGCAAATACTGACCAGGATCTGGATCCCTGTCCGAATTTTCTGGGGTGACTCCAATAGAGCTGTTGATGGCCCATCTTGACTCTCTCGCTCGAGTGTCGGAAAGGAAGAAGAAGGCCGCGCGTGCGCAAAAGAAGCGTTAAGGATCAGCGTTTCCGGTAATGGCAAACAACTGTCGCAAAACTAAAGCATTGTAACCGAGAAGCCCAAAGAGGGCGCTCTGGGCGTTGGTGTTGTAAACCTAAACAGGAAGCATATCTTTTTACAGCGTGATTGAATGTCTTTTGTCCCAAAATAAATCTTGTATATCCTGTTATTTCAAATTCAAATTATTATTTTTTTAAAAGTACCTTTAAATTTGGAAACTTACAAGAAATGGCAGTGTGTATACATATAATATAGGATTATGATCGTTCTTGTTTTCTAATGGTGTTCTTTTTGTCTGGGGTGAGTTGCACAGTAATAACCCCTTATTAAAAAAAACACGCATATGTTTTATATTGCATTCATGTCAGACATATGTCCTAGATCATCTTAATTAGGAGTGTATTATTCCTAACTCGAGATTACATATTTAAGTATTTTTTAAAAAGTTTATATATCGGTGTTGTGTTTAAGGTAACCGTTACTCTGTATTTCATCTTATGGGGAACAATACAGGATACATGTAATATTATTATGTCTTTATCGTCTTTTGGGAAGGGTGTATTGTTACTGTTAAATCCCTCGCTTTGAATGACATTTAGATGACGTGGAGCCGTGTACTTTATCAATAGCGCTGCTGAGAGCTGGTGGAGTATCAATGATGAAGCTGTTGATGATAGGAAGGCTGACAGCAGCAGCTATGATACGTAAACGTTAGGGTGTCTCGGGTGCCCCCCACTGAAGTAGTGCATTGTGGGACAGCAGCAGGAGAAGGCAGTAGTTCCGTATTTGGGATTTCTCCTGCTAGCTTCTGGAATCGCATCTATACAGCCTCCGTGGACGGGATGGAGGAGAAAGGCGGTCCGCCGTACTGATGTTACCCGCTGAAAGGACCGCACGGCTGCTACATTTTTAGGTACGTCGTCCTAAACGTAGCTTCTTTGGTTCTCGGTGGATGGAGTTGTTGACGAGCCTCGGTGTGGATTGGCTGTTTGCAAGTTCTTAGCTAAGGCTAAATAAAAGCTAGCGTTTTTCCCCTCAGGATGCTCGTTGGCAGTAAAGATCGAAAGTGAACCTACAATATGTTATTTCTGTCGTTCGGACAGCGCCCGACGGCTGTCAGAAGCTGAGTTTTTATGGCGTCTCATGGAAAATGTATCGATCGATGCTGTTGCTGACAGTGGCCAATTCTGGACGATAAACTGATAGGCTTCGAATGACACCTTTCATTCACCAACGAGTTGAGAAGCATAGTGTGTGAAACAACATGAATAAATTCTCCATATGTAAATATAAAGGTTGTAGATTGTGAGTCAATGATAAATTGCAATTGCAATACTCTAAATACTATATATATATATATATATGTATATATATATATATATATAATGCATCCTTGATATAAACAGAGAATGAACGAATGATCGCTGCGAGTTTCAAGTACAAGAATAATTTTAAATGGAGAAAATCATTCATATTTTCCATATTAATGTTTTTAGCAACATGCGTAGAGTAGCCACGATTAGCTGAATTATCGTTGACTAATCTAACAATATATGATTTGGCAACATTTTCTGAATGCAAACTTTTTCTTAAAAAATCATATTTACGATCGTAGAAATGTATATTATATCAGATTAAAACTTTTAAACACACATGCATTAACCTTCCTAAATATGAACCGTATATTGCGTGAACAGAAAGAAAATATCAGCACGTTGATGTATGAATCCAAATTAATTTAAAAAATATTCAAAACTATAACTCGTATTTTTTCTTCATCCTTAACAGTATGATTTATATAAAATTAGACAGAGATGAAAACCATATCACAAAATAGTGAAAACCCCATCTTTTTCTACAGTTGATAAAAGATGCAGTCATTCTTCTTAATAACTTGTAATTGTAAAAATCTTAATCTATTAAAACACATTTTACTGCACCACTGAGTAGATTGGAGTTGATGTTTTACACGTACATATAACTTTCTATGAAGTTGTTGGTCAGTGATATTCCAGGCAACGCTGGTGCTTCACTGGGCATCAATAGGATCAGGTACTGTGTAGACAAACCACTAATTTAATAAAATGAGACAGTGCTGATAAATTGAACTTTCTCAGCACAAAAGGCTGATCAATATTTATAAAGCACTTAACAACACCGACATACCCACAAAAACAGTGCTGAGTTATAAACAACACTGTGAGTTTTAATAAAGAGCTATTTATAGGCTATTAAAACTAGCTCAAAGTTGTGAATCTATACTGTTTTTTAACAATTTTATGTGTGAATGCAATCCTCAGTGGTTGTTTTTTGTGTTTCTTTGTGGTGATCTAGTTACTCTTAGTGGGAAATGAAACTGAAGCTGTTTTCATAAATGTGCTTACAGTCAGTCTTACAGTTTTTGTTAGAACAAAAATCTTAATTCTGATGTAATTAAGTTGTTACTGAACAATTCACTGCAGTACAAATTAAAAAGTCGATAAAACATTTACGTTACTTTTAATATATATTTAGACTCTTGCAGATCTGGAATTTTATTACAACTTTATGGGTCAGTCAAAAGATAATTTGCTGTTTTTACTTTTCATTCAGGTGGATTATGCACACTTCAACTCTGCTGCCTTCCAGCACCAATCAAGCCTTATGGAATATTCATTAACCACCGATGACTTTCCAGCGGGATCCGTGTTTACAGCAACAGCACAGTTTGCCGAATATTAGCTTCCTTAAAGCCTCTCCTTAATCAGTATCGCTTTTTGTGCAAGGCATATTACAACTGCACTCCTTTTTTGTTTCACTATCCTCAACTTCTCTTCCTTCGCTAAAGTTTGACCCCTTATCATGAGATTCCGAATCTACAAGAGGAAGGTGGTGATACTGACTCTGGTGGTTGTTGTCTGTGGCCTGGCTTTTTGGAGCAGTGGAAGACAGAAAAAGAATGACAGCGGACCATTCCTCAAGGAGGTCGACGTAGTAAGGAGAAGCAGTAGCATGAGCAGTAGCAGCAGCAGTAGCAGCCTCAACAACAAACATATACAGGTACAAGCTTCACCGGCAGTCAGCAGGGCACCTGCTCCTCCTCCTGTTGTACAGGCAAATGAAACGCATCCAGAAAAAGCAAAGGACAACGAGAAGCTTTCCAAGCCAGATGTAGATAACACGACTTTAGTTTACCGTGGTATTGTCTTCCAGCTAAATTTTGATCAAACGATACGAAATGAGGACAAGTTTAAAAACTCCAGGCAAAAAGACGATCTAGTTGTGGTTGTCCAGGTCCACAATCGACCAGACTACCTTAAGTTATTAGTGGACAGTCTGCGAAAGGCCAAAGGTGTAGAAAGCATACTGCTGATATTCAGCCACGACTACTGGTCTCCTGAGATCAATAAAGTGGTGGCTTCTGTTGACTTCTGTCAAGTGCTTCAAATTTTCTTCCCCTTCAGTATCCAGCTGTATCCACACGAGTTTCCTGGAAATGACCGTAACGATTGCCCCAGAGACATTCCCAAAAAAGACGCCTTAAAATTGGGTTGCATCAATGCAGAATATCCCGACTCCTTTGGTCACTACCGCGAGGCTAAGTTTTCCCAGACTAAGCATCACTGGTGGTGGAAGCTGCACTTTGTATGGGACAGGGTTCGGGTCCTGAAGGACCATAAAGGTTTGGTCCTGCTGATTGAAGAGGACCACTATTTGTCACCGGATTTTGTTCACATCTTAAAACTGATGTCAGTGCTAAAAAGAGAGCAGTGCTCAGACTGTGACATCCTCTCATTGGGAAGCTACAGCCACATCGGCTACTCCAGCAAAGCGAACAAGGTCGAGGTGAAGGCCTGGAAATCGACAGAGCACAACATGGGGATGGCTCTGAGTAGGGAGACATACCAGATGCTTTTCAAGTGCACTGATACTTTCTGCACTTACGATGACTACAACTGGGACTGGTCCTTGCAACATCTGACCGTATACTGCTTGCCCTCCTACTGGAAAGTGATGGTGAGTGAGGCACCAAGGATCTTCCATGCGGGAGACTGCGGCATGCATCACAAGAAGACTTCCTGCATGCCCATCAGCCAGAAAAACAAGATCGAAAACATCCTTCAGAGCAGCGCAAACCAGCTGTTCCCAAAGAACCTCCTGATTACAAAGAGACTGCCAGCCAATGGGGTTGGAGGAGTGGCACCACATGTTAAAAACGGAGGCTGGGGAGATATCAGGGACCATGAACTCTGCAAGAGTTATGTACGATTACAGTGACCTTAATGAATTGCTATTATTATATATTATCGTCTTTTTTGCATCCTCTATAAGAAAAAAAAAGCCTTTTAAAAGTGAATCTTTATGGAATATTCTTCATATTGCCTGTTTTATTGGACTGTTCTAAATAAATACGAATGTTGGATTTTTGCTTCTTTAACAAGAACGGCTTTACATTGACTTATTTGTGTGTTTCCTGGCTCACCATTTTTGCTAGTACAATGATTAATTGTAAAAAATAAAAAATACCATTGTTTTTATATAAAGCTGTAAATATTTATGATGTTTTTTGGGGTTTTTTTTTTCAATTGCCAAGACAAAGCACTGGAAAATGCAGGGCTCAACAAAGTAAAGTCATAAATTTAGGGAATCTGTGGATGTAGCAGTCCCACAGTGCATGCATAATTAATTTAAGGTTATTTATGTCACTTCTATTTGCTAAAATTAAGATCTTTTGTGACGACTTGTTCCATTTCAGTCTCTGATTTCACTTGAGGTGCTCAGATGGCTGTGTGAAATGAAGATAATTGACAAAAGGATCCTTTTTGACAAAACACATTCAGTTTTTAAACTCACATTTAGCTTATTTTCAGGTCACTAGTTTACACAAATGTCCATTACTTTGGGTCTAAAAGAAATATAATAATTCACTTATTAAAAGAGCAATTTACTTTGGATTGTATTTCCTCAAGGGATTGATTGACTATGATCTGTGGCGTTTATTTATATTTGTTGTTTTAGTGTCCCACTCTTCGCCACAGTGAAGTGTAGAAAGTGGCCGATATTTTTGCAAAAACAAAACAGTTAACTGCATATGACGTTCCCGGGAAATCAAATCAAAACTGTCGTAATGTACAGTCGTTTGTGTCTATGCAACTGAAGGTGCATTTTCATTAAGGTTCTCAGACCACAGCTTAGTATTGATGATTTCTGCAAAGACTTGAGCTTAGGGGCTGCTCTGAAACTGCATTGATTCTTCACCCCCCTCACTCCCTCCTCGCCCCAACGTCAATGTTTAACAATCGGTTCTGCACACTGTTCAGAATCTGGAGTAACTGCCAAGGTATTGCTGACTTTACTACAGCTCACAATAAATAAATATATACTCTGGCAGACTGTGCTGTAGGCCTTTTCTTGCTGTAAGGCACATTTTTTCTGCACAGGTTTTCACTATGACAAATGATGAAAACCTGACTTACACAGAAGCAGCTTAACAGAGCCCCCGCTGAACCTCTCCAGGGTAAGAGAGCCCATTTTATTCTCTGTGAACTTTTAATTCTTAATGCGATGTGGAGATGTGATGCTGGAACTGCTGTGCTGGGGTCATGTGACTGTCAAATATGCAGCTGCTCTCCTGGTGAAGGCTTAGTAATTGGGTCCACGCCTCAAGGGACTCAGCTGAGAATAGAATTAGGAGAGAGTAGGAGAAAGGGAAGGTGTGTCCTTAGTTCCTGATGAGTAATGGTTAAAACACAGGAGACTTTAAGATGTACAGATGTGAAGATGAGGGATTTGAACTTCAGTAATTGAAGGACAAAAATAGCTGATTCATTGATCTACTGAGCTTCAGCTATCGATAAGACAATGAATAATGTTCACAATGATAATTACACTCCAGATTCTCTGTCAGGCATTTTTATTCATATTGGTCTCATTAAATGATTTAAAAAAAAATTGCAATATTTTTAATGTAAAACTAGCACTACGTGAACATTATATTCTCGCATCATCATAAACTTTTTTTTGCAGGACACTAAATGCTGCTGCTCAGCAGTTGGGCCTCTGGCCATTTGAGACCAACGGAATCATTGCAGATATAGCAGGGTAGACAAAACTCGGGGTCAATATATGGAAGCATGCAGACGAGGGAGTTGCATCACACTGAGAGGACGATTTAAAGAGGAGGCAGCATACGCATCAAGATCCTCTCAGAATTTATTGGATTTCTGTTAAGTGGGACCGAGCATCCAAGATAAATGCAGCCGTTTCCACGTCTCCTACTGTATGCTGTTGTGTGTTATTGCTATTTAATTGACCAGACAGTATAATGTATACAGAGGATGTAGAAGAAAATATAAGGATACGTATGACTGTGATTCTGCATTTTCTGCGAGGCATCTCAACAGTACGTGCACAAACCTTGCCTGATACCTAAAGTCATTTAGTCAGTGAGCCAGTCATCCTGTCAGTCAGAGCATCATTGCTGATAGGTGACACCTTGACAGGATGATCACACTTCCAATGATGACCACACAGGCAGCTGCTGGCTGGGTCTGATTGCTAACGTTTCTTGTAGAGTGACTTATTAATTATGGAAAAAGCAGATGCATTCTTAACTCAGAACAATATATATATACTGTATATGCTGCTGAACTTTTTAAACTTGGAGGTACTGAATATCAGAGCAACACTGCCCCCAGCTGGACAAGAGCAGACATCGCCATTTAAATTTCCACTGGTCATGTCTGAAATAAATAAATCCGTATGGAACAACAAATGCTACCAGGATTATGTCCCAAATTACAGTTTTTTTAAGTACTGTGTTAAAGAGGCGGATCAAAAGTGAATGATCTAAGAGGCACTTGTGATATGTAAATTGCTGCTAAAATATAACTCTCCAGTGACTATTCTATTTTTATGTCATGTTCTGTAAAATGATTTTAGACAGGAGTGGCCTTTGGGGATTCAATACCTGAGCCTAAACCAATCAAACACATCAGTTCATAGTGACAATTCTCTGAAATTAGAATTTACTGCACACACCAGTTAAAAAAATTACAATAACATAAACTGATTCACAGAGAAGTGGTTTTGTCTCATTTAACTTTAGGGACACATAAATCAACACAAATACAACATAACATCTGCTAAAGCTGTTTTAATAAGCAACACATGGAGGAAAAGGCTCCCATCTTTAAAACCCTTTTTGTGTCTTTGTGGGATGCTTGGAGCATCAAGTGTCACCTCTGCACTCATAGGACCACTACATGCTGACGTCGGCCAACGGTTCTTCAACACAGTGTCAAATATTTGTTCACATGTTCATCATGAGGACAATAATCACTCCTCAGAACAGGAGTCAGAGATTTCAGCCCCGTCTGCAGAAGGTGGAAGTTGAAGTGAATTCAAACACACACACACACACACGTGGAAGGTCAGAACAAGTGCTAACAGGTGAGGAAAACAAAACCAGCATTCGTCTCTGTGTGGTTTACCTGAGCTTGGAGTGATGGCTGTGTTCTGCATCTGTGCCTGCCTACCTGTGTTGTATTAGGGATCTGCAGTGACAGATTAGCTAACACTCAGTACTACCTACTAGAAGACAAGAACTCATTAATCTCATACAACAAAAGTTTTCATTAACAAAAATACACCTGTGTTCTCTTCTATGTACAACAGAAAACAAGTCCACCCATTCAAGATTTATTTTAATATTAGGTATAGATTTTCTGGTTTAGAAATATCACTATGTTCTGAAATGACGATCGTTGAACGTGTAATGATCGTTTCACCCATAAATCATTAAAGTACAACATATATACATATAATACACAGCCCATTTATCTGAAACTATATTAAAATAAAGTACATTAGATACAAAGGTTTTTAATCTATTTATATTTGAACCATGTCAGGTGGTCATTACATACTCAAAAATTGTAAAGCCATTCTCCTCTGACAATCTCTTAAGTGCAAACATTTTTATATTCATGTTAAAAAACTATGATTGCATTGTCCAGCATTGAGACAGGAGGCAATAACAAACTGTTTAACCTAGTGCTTCCAAAATTCTCATCAAAGTACTTTACTCAAGTTTACTGTCATCAGTTCAAATTATGGAGAAAAAAAACTGAAAAATAATTTCTGTGCAAAATACACTTTACAGTGTGATACATAGTTTTCAAATGTTAGTAAGGGAAGTACATAGTTCATGTCTCTTGAACAGGTATTCTGAGGAATGTGGCAGCACAAAAAATAAATTGGCCAGAAGCTCATCGAATTTCAGAGGACACTTCACTGATGTATACTGTTATCTGTAGAAAGAAACACACCAGACTACACACCAGACTGTGTATAAATGTTTTTGTTTTTTCAGACAACTGGTTTGATGCAACATTGAACCAGTGAATATCTTTTGTGTGTCTCCTGGAGTACTTCATTGTCACCCTCTCACTTTCCAAAGCACCCTTATCTCTCTCCCCACCTCCTTTAAAGGCATCTTGTTTCTAACCCTGGCTTGGCCAAACTTGGATGACAGAAAAATGAACACCCAAGAGATTTGTCTGGATTGTTGTAGTGATGAAAATACAGGTGACTATCAAAATGGTTTGGTGTTTGTGAGTTTGTGTAGAAGCTCTGCACTGCCTTGGTCTTGGACATCCCCCGACTCTGTTGCATGGAGCTGTTATTAGCAGCACCAGCACAGGGGTTATACTACTGTTCCACTGGGTGAGTTGGCTAGATTGACTAGAGTTGAAAGCAATCCCTGTGGAGAGACAGATAACACATGATAATAACAAAACACTACTGTGTGTGTAATAGAAATGGCAGAACAGTGAGGCCATGATCAACTGTCAGAAAGGAATGTGCTGACTTACTTAATTTAAGGAGAACTTAGGGAACTTTTAAGGAGAACTTAGTGCAAACGTGACAGGATGTAACCATATATGAGATACAGTGGAAGGAACAACTGCTGTGAAACAAATCCTGTACTATAATCTGAGGGACTTGAGAGGTGTCACATGACAGTATCCTCCACAGGCCTGTCACTCACCACTTTCCCAGGCCTAGCCCATGTGCAAACGAATCCCTCCTGACAGGCTGTTACCAGACAGTCCTCGAGGAAGATTAACACAGTAAGTCTCTCGTGAGCAATTTTCTTGCACACAAGTGGCTCAAGCAATGGCACTTCATCCATGCGTGGACACAATATTGTGCCCAGAGTTTTGGCCGCATCAGCTTTTGCCGTCCGTGTTGAGCTCAGCTGATTGAGCTTATCGCTGCTCTTGCTGCTGATGTGTCCCATGCTGTGGTTTCTTTTGTGGTCTTTCTCGTGGCGGTCCTTACGTGACTCATGCAAAGATAGAGTAGCAAATTTGCTGACTCCAGTGGCAATCAGAGAACCATCGATGATACTGTTTCCCTTGGTTGTTGTAGTAGTACCAGTAGTAGTAGTAGTAGTAGTAGTAGTAGTAGTAGTAGTAATAGTAGTATTAGTAGTAGAAGTAGTAGTAGTAGTCGTGGTGGTGTTAGTGAGATTAGTGGTGGTATTATTACTGCTGCTGGTGCTACTGCTGCTGCTGCCACCTGTGTGATTGTTGGGTGTGCTGCCCCCTGCTGGGTTAGAAGACTGTGGCAGGCTATTGGACCGTGGCAGAGTGTCTGAGATAATGTCAGATAGATTACCACTATCCCCAGTATTGCTAAAATTGTCTTTACCATTGGAGCCACCAGGATTAGCAGCAGTGGTGGACACAGTAGTATTATTTTGTCCAGTGACTGGAGGGCTTGTTGCATTCATAACATTAGTGTGAGTTCTAGCACGGGACAGAGGAAGGTGGGGGAAAAGAATGTCCTCTGTAAGATCCCACAAACAGAGCTGAGTGTCTTGTCCCACAGAGCCAAACCTGTAAGTCACACTGACAGGTCTACTGTCGGTAGAGTTTCTTTTAGAAAGCCGAGAGTGAGCACTGTTAGCTCTTTCTCTGCCCGTTCCACAGTGAATCTGCTCGTGAAAGTCCTCGTCGCTACCGCTAAACTCAGCAGGTAGGTCACCATCTTCCACACTTGTGATGCAGTGGTCAAATGCCACCACACTCACCCACGACTTGTGACCATGTCCTCTTGCAATCACTCTGCAGTCTGAAAATGACCACACTGTCACCAGGTCATCCTCCCCTCCTGCCACAATGTAGCGCCCATCTGGGCTCCAGCATAAACATAGTAAGCCACCAAAGTAGCTTTTCATTGTTCCGTGAAGCTCTGCAGCATCAAAACCAAAAACACGCAGGAAGCCATCCTGACTTGCACAAGCCAAGAACTTGCCATCAGGTGAGAAGGCAAACTCATTCAGCGCCCCCTCTCCCACTGTCCATCGCAGTAATGGGTTACGAGCCGACTTACTTTTGCATGTATGCACAGCATAGTTTTCACCCTGCTTCAGAAGCTGGTAGTGAGGGGCTGTAGTGCCACAGGTGTTTTCAACATTGTACAAGTACATGCTGCCACTGGAGTGAGCCACCAGGAACAGGCTGTCTGAACCAGGAACCCATCTTACACATGTGACTCTGGACTTGTCTATTAGTCTCTGGGGAAGAGAAATAAGTAAAAAGGCAAATAATAAAAAACAAATCAAATATGACCATAAAAAACAATTGAAAGAATGCTGACTGTAACCCACCTCTTCATTGAAAAGTTTGCTGGTTTCCTTTTTTATTGGGTCTATGAGCTGAACCTGTCCTGCTGAGAAGCCCACCAGCAAGGAGACACTTTCTGCTGTGGCTGTAAGTGGGTTGAAGTCATGACAAGTGGGCTGCGTTCCTTTGTAGATCCTCTTGTCTATTGGCTTACTAAGATCAGCAGCCTTAAATGATAAAAGCATGCAGATGTAAAGTGTTTATAATTGAACATATTTTACCAATAGTAATGTTACTGTTGCAACAGTGCAGGGTTTACAGAAAAAGTCACAAAATGTAGCTTACATGAAAATTATACGGCATATTCTGAGACATAATCATAATAAAACTTTAACATTAACAGAACATATAGACAATATAAGAGTATGACAGATATGCAGCCAGCGTCACTACTCCTTAACTACAACAGCCTTTCAGCATGTTAACTGTGACTGTCGATGAGCCCAAACCTCTGTTTACAACATGTCAGCTACAACGATGTAATCATGTAAAGGACATTAAACAAACAGCCGGACATCTGATCCAGGAGCCCTCTTCATGTCTTACCCACATCGTTGACAAAACTGCAAGTACAGCAAACAACTAACACTGAGGAGAAGGACTCTGACGTAACAATTGTTATTATTATTCAGTCAAAAATGAAAACGGTATAGATGTGAGCGGGATGCTAATTAGCCCCTAACTTAGCTTAGTCAGCTACAGGGCCTTATGTTGACACTTTCGTGACAGGAGCAAAAAGAGTAGACAGCCGGACTGTAGCGCGTTTGAAGATGCGCAGCTAACCCACAGTCCCTGGACAGTGCTGGCTCTGTCGCTCTGTCCATATTGTTTACCTTTCTCACGCCTTTGTAGATATAAAAGTAGAGTTCCCGACCCACATTGAAACAGATCCTGTCACCGTTGCCGGATTGGTCGTTTACATTGACGAAGGAGACCTTGACGGGATTGGAGCCCTGCGAGTTAAAAGGGACCCGGTTCGGGCGACTGTATTCAGAATGAGTGAGGAGTTTATAGACGCCTTCTCGAGTACTGAATTGAGTTTTAATTTCGTTCATCTCCTTCCCTCCTCCCTCCGCCGCCATCTTGGTAATTTACTTTCATCCTTGTCCAGTACCCGGATGTTAGTGACTGCGCATACGTCGACTGTCGAGCGTTGCGCAAAGGGGGGCATCAAGTCATGTGAGACAAACCTGAAACATAAACACAACAACGTGGTCGTAGTGACTTTAATATTTACAGATAAATAAAAACGTCAAAGAATATTGAAAATAACAAAATATCGCACTGGTTCTTTAATTTCAAATAAAACTATTATATATTTTACAGAAAACGAGTATTAAAAAAAGCACAACATAAAAGACATTAAAAATGTTTTTTAAAACACCCTGCACTTTTAATAATGTCACCTTGGAATCATTCTGGGATTGTTTTATAGCAATAACTTATAAATCAGCCCCTTAAACTAATACTGGCAATTATTTAGCATGTTACCATTAAAACTATTAAACACTGTCTCTCTCCTATAGAAAATATCACCTTACAGCTTTCTGTTTCTCAGTTACAGACAGGCAGCTCCTAGTCATATCTATAATCAACTAAGCAGGCATGGATTATGTAAGAGATGTAGCAAGTCTAGTATACTGCCATCATCTGGTCAGCCTCTCTCAGCTGCCGTTTTATCTTACGCAAGACTTTTAACTTGCTGTTAAAAACATCTTTATTTTTATTTAATCTGGTATATTGTCAATTTAGGCAATTGACATTCATGATATATTTATTCATGATAATTTAATTAATTAATTAACTAATTAATTAATTAGTTACAGAATTGGCTATGTTTGTATAAATAGAACAATACAAAATCCATCACACATTTCAGGATATACAAAGAAAACCTTCAACACACAAGTGAAGCAAAACACACACTGAATACAGTGGATGATTTTTGGAAAACTACAATTTATTGTTATTGCAGCATTTGTACCATAAAAGTAATAATATTTAAATGTATGAAAAATACTCTAGCAAAGAGCCTCAAAGAGACTGTGTTTCATCTTTTCTGAATAATGTAGCAGGATTTGTTTAGCTGTCCAACAACACGTAAACTATTGAGATACCCTACAATTTTGCAAGGCAAAAAAGACAGGTGATTGGAGTGTGTGTATAAAATGTGCAGCTTTACAACTGGTAACAGCTGGTAGCAAAGGCAATGCACAGCTGTGACGACTACAAGGGGGGCGGCATGGGGCCACGGCTACTCGACAGGCTATCAGGAAAGCTCTTGTTGTGAGTGACAGGCACTACTTGTGACTCCCTGGCCCTATAAGGACACATAAACTTTAGGGGTCTGGTGACGTTTTACTGACACCCTTCCTCCCCCATCTGTCGTGAATGAAGTTTCCAGAAGCTTCTGTATGGGAGCTTCGAGAAACCACCCCTGAAGTATAAAAAGACACCGGCATGTCATAAGGTCTGCACACAGTCTAAAGACACTCACAGGATCACACCACAGGAAAACCCACAGGAGCAGCCTAGCACACTTTTGGGCCTCTTCATCAAGGGAAGACAAGCTCAGTGATATATTTGGCAACTTTCAACCCAGGATACAAAATACACAATTAAGGTAGGACTGTAATTTCTGGAACAAACAGAAAATTGTAATATTTATAATTTAAATATTAGATGGTTTAGATGTCCTGAAATGCACCAATTCAATTTGCTGTAATAGTAACATTAGAATAAACAAGTACATAGATAATAATACCAATAATTAACTAGATTTGAATAACAGGTAAGTGTGGATTTGATTCCCCCAGTCTTAAAACTGTACCATGCAAGGAGCACATGGCACTAAGGGTGACCCCCATTGCTAGAGTCATGGCAAACAGTCAGGAAAGCTATTTGGCTGAAGGAGCAGATACACTACTTCTGTATTTTAGTAAACACCATACGTTTGAAGTTGAAAGCAAAGGAGGTAAACTTTAATTACATTTAAATTACCAGTATGTACTACATAAGGCCAATATGTACTACATTAATTTCACAGAATGTGAAATTAAGACTTTAAATGGCATACTTGTTTTATTACATTGAAATAGATTTGAAATGTATCAGGGTTTCTTTTAATAGAAAATTGTTTTAATAGTTTTTCCTTTGGAAGCCACTATTGCTTCCTTTTACACATACGTGTTACGTGAAGCTTTGGGGGTTGGGGCAAGCATCAGAGCACCACCCTTTTTTCCAAATGGCAAGTCTTTGATTGACAGGAGGAACATGTGTCCTTTGCAAGAGTAGCCGCTAACACCCTTCAGCGATGAGGCTGTCTGAAGAAAGATTAAACATTCACACATTACAGAAGCAACTAATTTCTAAGAAACTAAACAAAAAATAAAAAATCAATATAAAAAATATATTTTTTGTTGTTTAAAAAGTGTTTTTTTTTTTTTTTTTATTTAAAATGTTAATGTGTGTGTGTAGATGCCTGAGAACGCCGGCCCAGTTATGGAGGAAGAAGTGGAGACCTTTGCCTTCCAGGCTGAGATTGCTCAGCTTATGTCTCTTATTATCAACACTTTCTACTCAAACAAAGAGATCTTCCTCAGAGAGCTTATCTCTAACTCCTCAGATGTAAGTTAAATACCTTTAACTTGACCAAGTTTTTTAAAAATAAACACACCTATTTTTAACACATTTTCTTTTTTTGTCAGGCCTTGGACAAAATCAGATATGAAAGCTTGACAGACCCCAGCAGACTTGAGTCATGCAAGGATCTAAAGATCGAAATCATGCCAGATCTGCACGCTCGCACTCTGACCCTTATTGACACCGGTATCGGCATGACCAAGGCTGACCTGATTAATAATCTGGGAACAATTGCCAAATCTGGAACCAAGGCTTTCATGGAGGCTCTTCAGGCTGGAGCTGACATTTCCATGATTGGTCAGTTCGGTGTGGGTTTCTACTCTGCCTACCTTGTGGCTGAGAAGGTAACTGTCATCACTAAACACAATGATGATGAACAGTATGTGTGGGAGTCTGCAGCAGGAGGCTCATTCACCGTCAAACCTGACACAGGCAAGTTTTATTTTTCATACTTGAATCTTATACTAGTAAATAAATATATTGTTTGCATTTGAATTTATCATTTTCTATAACAGTTCTATTAAACGTATGTTTATTGTTTATTGTAGGAGAACCTATTGGCAGAGGCACAAAAGTCATCCTTCATCTCAAGGAGGACCAAACAGAGTACTGTGAGGAAAAACGCGTCAAAGAAGTTGTTAAGAAGCACTCACAGTTTATTGGCTACCCCATTACACTTTATGTAAGTTTTTATAAAACCTTAATCACGCTGTCTTGTTGAGCTCATTGTTCTGTTTGTTCAGCTTCTGCGGTAAGAGTGGTTTGTGTGTTGTTTTTTGTAGTTCATGCCTCATAGTACATGTTTTGGAGAAGTCCATGCCTGGTTTATGCCTCGTTTGTTTTTGCACTTTGTTAATAGACCTGCTGCACCTGAAGGGAGTCTCCCTTGTGCTGCAATTGGGTCTGCCTGCTTTCTGCCATGACCACACATAACATGTTCATATTAGAAAACACACTGACAATGCAATCAAATTGTTCTTATCATATTTAAAAGGTGGAGAAGACAAGGGAAAAAGAGGTAGACCTGGAGGAGGGAGAAAAAGAAGAGGAGGTTGAGAAAGAGGCCACTGAGGACAAGGACAAACCAAAGATTGAAGATGTTGGCTCCGATGAGGATGAAGATTCAAAGGATGGCAAGAACAAGAGGAAGAAGAAGGTCAAGGAGAAGTACATGGATGCTCAGGAGCTGAACAAGACTAAGCCCATTTGGACCCGTAACCCAGATGACATCACCAATGAAGAATATGGAGAATTCTACAAGAGTCTCACCAATGACTGGGAGGATCACCTGGCTGTCAAGGTATAATAACCTGCAGTCTTGTTGTCTTGTAATGTCCCTTACTGTATAATTGAAATGATTTAAAGCCCTACCTTTATTGTCTTTCTGCAGCATTTCTCAGTGGAGGGTCAGCTGGAATTCCGTGCCTTGCTCTTTGTTCCTAGAAGAGCTGCATTTGACCTTTTTGAAAACAAGAAAAAGAGAAACAACATCAAGCTTTACGTACGCCGTGTCTTCATCATGGACAACTGTGAGGAACTGATTCCAGAGTACCTCAGTAAGTAACATATCTTTGCTTTCTATGTTTGACTAAATGTAAATCTAATAAGAAATTGCCCTTGTCTTGCTATGAATTAATAAGTCCTGATCTTCATATTTAGATTTCATCAAGGGAGTGGTGGACTCTGAGGATCTGCCTCTAAACATCTCCAGAGAAATGCTACAGCAGAGCAAGATCCTGAAGGTCATCCGCAAGAACCTGGTCAAGAAATGTCTGGAGCTTTTCACTGAATTGGCTGAGGACAAGGACAACTACAAGAAGTGCTACGAGCAATTCTCAAAGAACATAAAGGTAATTTAATTTGTCCATTCTAATTTATTACTTTGCCCCTGTAGATAAATTATGACTGTTGGGTTATTTTCTTTACTGCATTTATTCTGTTCTTTCATGATTTAGCTTGGCATCCATGAAGATTCACAGAACAGAAAGAAGCTCTCTGAGCTGCTGCGTTACTACACCTCTGCCTCTGGAGATGAGATGATTTCCCTGAAGGACTATGTTTCTCGCATGAAAGAAAACCAGAAACACATTTATTACATCACAGGTAATCTCTTTTATCTGCCTTGTTGGTATTTAAAATGTGCTCTCTTAATTAATTAAGAGTATATTGTTTTTTATTTTAATCCGTCTGTATTATTTTTCTTAGGTGAGACTAAGGAGCAGGTGGCTAACTCCGCCTTTGTTGAGCGTCTTCGCAAAGCCGGCTTGGAAGTCATCTACATGATTGAGCCAATTGATGAGTACTGTGTACAGCAGCTGAAGGAGTATGACGGCAAGAACCTGGTTTCAGTGACCAAGGAAGGATTGGAATTGCCTGAAGATGAGGATGAGAAAAAGAAGCAAGAGGAGCTCAAAAATAAGTTTGAGGACCTTTGCAAGATCATGAAAGACATTCTTGACAAAAAGATTGAAAAGGTAACAAGCATGACTGTGACTATGTTGTATGTCACTGACAGCTTCCTTGTTGCAAGATGTGTTACTGTATGTTAAAAATGATAGTTGTGCAACTGACATTAGCCTTATTTTGATATTTTTTTCAGGTCACTGTATCCAACCGCCTGGTTTCTTCACCCTGCTGCATTGTCACTAGCACCTATGGGTGGACAGCCAACATGGAGAGAATCATGAAGTCTCAAGCCTTGAGAGATAACTCCACAATGGGCTACATGACAGCTAAGAAGCACCTTGAGATCAACCCCATGCATCCAATTGTTGAGACCCTGAGAGTTAAGGCAGAGGTTGACAAGAACGACAAAGCTGTTAAGGACCTGGTCATTCTCCTGTTTGAGACTGCCCTGCTGTCTTCAGGATTCACACTGGAAGACCCCCAGACACATGCCAACCGTATCTACAGAATGATCAAGCTTGGTCTTGGTATGTTTTTGTTCTGCTTGGCTTATGATTAAAAACATTTTTTTAGATATGCATAGATATACTCATTGTAAATTCTAATTCTCAGGTATTGATGATGATGACTCCGCTGTTGAAGACCTGATTCAGCCTGCTGATGAGGACATGCCAGTCCTGGAAGGCGATGATGACACTTCAAGAATGGAGGAAGTTGACTAAATGCTTTCTGCCTTCTATTTCTCTCGTTTGTTTGTTTTGTTAAGTTATTTAGCTTTATCAAACAATTCATTCTTACAAATAATTCAGTTCATAACTTCCCTAAACGCAGAACATTGTGGTTAACACATTATTTCAGTTGCTTATTTGTATTACTGAGAACCACTTAGAGTATTATGAAGTTACAGGTAATTTGACTTGTGTCTTTTTTGTAACTGACTTTTTTAATGAAATGCATTCATATTTCTAATAAATCACTTTTGGAAATAACATTTGGTCAAAGTGAGTGTTTTGCAGACTGCTTTAAAGATGTATAGCGTGATCCCATGAAGGTAATGTTTAATTACACTTCCAAGGTGTTTTTTCACCTGAAAAGCTTGATTACATTTTTTTTAGTTCAAAGGACAATAAAAGCTTACTGGGTGATATCTTTACGGACATTGATGAAAGCTTCAAAGTACATAACTAGAACAAGGACCTTTAATTTGTGCATTTTCTTCGCAATATCTTCTGGATTGTAGCATCACCCTCCTTAAAACTGCAAGTTATTTGCACAAACCTTTAGGAAGAGATAAAGTAATTTATTGCAAGAAATTGTTAAATGAATTTAAGTTAAATTTAATTCAGGGTAATATTTTGCAAGAGAATTCTAGAAAGACTCATCTCAGTGTGTATCCAGTGAATACTTCCTTTAATCCCTCCAATAACATTAGAGAGCCAGCCCGCGGCCTTGATTGACATCACAGTGAGCCAATCAGTGGCCACCGCAAAGCTTCTGGGAGGAAGATTCCAGACGGTTCTGTATGCAGAGTTCTCTCTATATATATCGAAGGCACTAACAGTATTTAAAGACAGTTTCTTCTGCAAGCGGCTGAGGTTAGTCAAACCATCAACAGGAGCTTTTGAAACTACGTTGAAGACGGAGAAAAATTGAGGTGATGAGACAATTGTCATTTTTATTTGTTTTGCACAATTGGATATTGTTATTATATTCTTAAACATTTGTGTGCGTGCAGTTAATACATGGGGTAACCGAAGAGACTATCAAAAGGTTGTAGGATTGCGATACTCGTAACAAGGCTAATTCAAATTTTGACGTGTACATTGGGTTTCAAATTATATATGCAATAATTGTTTTCGAAAGAAAGTATTCAAGGGGTTCACACCCAGTTTAATAACAGCGCTAAGAAACCGGTTTCCCCGACGAACTAAGGACAGTCAAAATGTTGTGAATTCACGTAGCATCGTCTTTGCAGCTGTTCTGTACTCGATCTAGTCAGTAACCACATGGATCGGGTGTGCTGCACTTGTCAAGAAGTCATGATGATCACGCCTTTACCCCAACAAGTCCAAATTACTTTTTGCAGAATCGTCATGTATGAAGATGCATGCCTGTATTATTTTCTATGCCAGTATGTGCATGGTTACCTGGTAATATTGTGTACGTTCATTGGACTGTAGCAGTTTCTCTCGGACGGTGGTACTTTAAATAACTATGGAAACCGCAGTACTAGAACGGCATTTATGCTTCCTTTGGTACTTTCTAGAAACATGCAATTACCTAGGACACCGACAGGTGGCATCATTTACTCCCTGTGCAATAATTCTAACCATGTGCTCCTCCAATCAAGCACACATCCACGTCATAACCTGACGATATCATAAAGATGAAAACAACAGTTACGAACCAAACATGAATTTAGTCAACACTGATGTCTTCTTATATATATGAACTGGAATAACACAGAGTTTGGATACAGGTTTAAGCAGGTGTCCCTTTGACAAGAGATGGATTATAGAGAGAACAGCTTGTCACACCATCTGCCACTTCAAGCAAAACGTGCTCACCTACTTAACAATCATTGATGCAACTCAATGCTATTAAAAGTAGGTGCAGATGCACATGGTTACTTTGCAGACAGTAGGTGATTATCTAAAGCTAGTATTCAGTGGCTATGGAATGTTGAATGCCTACCACCATAATGACTCATGGTGGTGCAAATGATGCAGGATTAGTACTGAAAAATTAATTTGATACATTTGTAAATGTATGGCTGATAACTATTAATTTGTCTTTGTTCAGATGCCTGAGCCACAAGATCAACAAATGGAGGAAGAGGCAGAGACCTTTGCATTCCAGGCTGAGATTGCTCAGCTAACGTGTACATTGGGTTTCAAATTATATATGCAATAATTGTTTTCGAAAGAAAGTATTCAAGGGGTTCACACCCAGTTTAATAACAGCGCTAAGAAACCGGTTTCCCCGACGAACTAAGGACAGTCAAAATGTTGTGAATTCACGTAGCATCGTCTTTGCAGCTGTTCTGTACTCGATCTAGTCAGTAACCACATGGATCGGGTGTGCTGCACTTGTCAAGAAGTCATGATGATCACGCCTTTACCCCAACAAGTCCAAATTACTTTTTGCAGAATCGTCATGTATGAAGATGCATGCCTGTATTATTTTCTATGCCAGTATGTGCATGGTTACCTGGTAATATTGTGTACGTTCATTGGACTGTAGCAGTTTCTCTCGGACGGTGGTACTTTAAATAACTATGGAAACCGCAGTACTAGAACGGCATGTATGCTTCCTTTGGTACTTTCTAGAAACATGCAATTACCTAGGACACCGACAGGTGGCATCATTTACTCCCTGTGCAATAATTCTAACCATGTGCTCCTCCAATCAAGCACACATCCACGTCATAACCTGACGATATCATAAAGATGAAAACAACAGTTACGAACCAAACATGAATTTAGTCAACACTGATGTCTTCTTATATATATGAACTGGAATAACACAGAGTTTGGATACAGGTTTAAGCAGGTGTCCCTTTGACAAGAGATGGATTATAGAGAGAACAGCTTGTCACACCATCTGCCACTTCAAGCAAAACGTGCTCACCTACTTAACAATCATTGATGCAACTCAATGCTATTAAAAGTAGGTGCAGATGCACATGGTTACTTTGCAGACAGTAGGTGATTATCTAAAGCTAGTATTCAGTGGCTATGGAATGTTGAATGCCTACCACCATAATGACTCATGGTGGTGCAAATGATGCAGGATTAGTACTGAAAAATTAATTTGATACATTTGTAAATGTATGGCTGATAACTATTAATTTGTCTTTGTTCAGATGCCTGAGCCACAAGATCAACAAATGGAGGAAGAGGCAGAGACCTTTGCATTCCAGGCTGAGATTGCTCAGCTAATGTCCCTGATCATCAACACTTTCTATTCCAATAAAGAGATTTTTCTTCGAGAGCTTATCTCTAACTCCTCTGATGTAAGTTTTTTTTTAAAACAGAATGATTGCATGTGGTGTAAAACCTTTTAATTTGTCTCATTTGAACATAATTAAAGTACATTTCCACCACAACAGATCTGCAGTATATTAAAAACCAACAAAGAGAATAAATAAACATGTATTTATTTAAATTCATTTTTGTTTTGTTTTTTTACTCTCTCCAGGCCCTGGACAAAATTCGCTATGAAAGTCTTACTGAACCTACCAAATTGGACTCTGGCAAGGATCTGAAAATAGAACTAATTCCAAATAAGGAGGAACGCACCTTGACACTGATTGACACCGGTATCGGCATGACCAAGGCTGACCTGATTAATAATCTGGGAACAATTGCCAAATCTGGAACCAAGGCTTTCATGGAGGCTCTTCAGGCTGGAGCTGACATTTCCATGATTGGTCAGTTCGGTGTGGGTTTCTACTCTGCCTACTTGGTGGCTGAGAAAGTAACTGTCATCACTAAACATAACGATGATGAGCAGTATGCCTGGGAGTCTTCTGCTGGTGGCTCATTCACCGTCAAAGTAGATAACTGTAAGTAGCTCATTTGCATTGAATAGCAAGAAAATCAAATGTGTCATGATTTGTGTCTCACATTAACTTTTGTTTTTTTTTTTTTCTGTGCAGCTGAGCCAATGGGTCGCGGCACTAAGGTGATCCTGCACCTTAAAGAAGACCAGACAGAATACCTGGAGGAGCGAAGAATCAAAGAGATTGTGAAAAAGCACTCACAGTTTATTGGCTACCCAATTACACTCTTTGTAAGTATTCATTTAAAGAAGTCTAAATGAACTGCAGTATGATTCTAGTATTTGACAAGTAATCTGCATGTAACTTACAATTCTAGTTAATATTTTCCTTATTGAATGTGAACATCTAATAAGATATAGGAGTCAGTATTTAGATATTTCAGTGTACTTTCTTATAGGTTGAAAAAGAGCGGGACAAGGAAGTGAGTGACGATGAGGCAGAGGAAGAGGAGAAAGTAAAAGAAAAGGATGAAGAAGAGGATAAAGACGAGGACAAGCCTGAGATTGAGGACATTGGTTCAGATGAGGAGCACGACCATGACAAGTGTTCTGACAAAAAGAAGAAGAAGATAAAGGAGAAGTACATTGACCAGGAGGAGCTGAATAAAACAAAGCCCCTGTGGACCCGTAACCCAGATGATATCACAAACGAGGAGTATGGAGAGTTCTACAAGAGTTTGACCAACGACTGGGAGGATCACCTGGCAGTCAAGGTAGTGTTGATAATGATCTCTATTAATGTTTAATTTGTCATACAGGTTGCTTTATAAATGTATAAATTTTACTCTGTCCTTGCTCTTACACAGCACTTTTCAGTAGAAGGTCAGCTGGAATTCCGTGCCCTGCTCTTTGTGCCCCGCCGAGCTCCGTTTGATCTCTTTGAGAACAAGAAGAAAAAGAACAACATTAAGCTGTATGTGCGCAGAGTCTTCATCATGGACAACTGTGATGAGCTTATCCCTGAGTACCTCAGTGAGTAGCTGTTCAAGTCTGTATATTTTATTTTATTTTTTAAATATTTTGTTTACCAGATTTATTTTTTATTTATTTAATAGATTTCATCAAGGGAGTGGTGGACTCTGAGGATCTGCCTCTAAACATCTCCAGAGAAATGCTACAGCAGAGCAAGATCCTGAAGGTCATCCGCAAGAACCTGGTCAAGAAATGTCTGGAGCTTTTCACTGAGCTTGCAGAGGATAAGGAAAACTACAAGAAGTGCTATGAGCAGTTCTCCAAAAATATCAAGGTCAGTGTCCTCTCTTTTCCCACTGAAAAAGCATAACTTTTGTTGTTAATTCAAATTGCCAATGTGACAACCGAGAAGTCTACATTAATTGGAGTAGAACGTAGAAGTTTATTAAATTGCTAGGTAAAAATAAAACAATTTCTCATAGTATTATACTATTTTTCATGTTTTCTTTCTATAGCTTGGTATCCATGAGGATTCACAGAACAGGAAGAAACTCTCAGAGCTGTTGCGTTACTATACTTCAGCCTCTGGAGATGAGATGGTTTCCCTGAAGGACTATGTTACAAGAATGAAAGACAGTCAGAAACACATTTATTACATCACAGGTGAGGGTGCTATTCATTTAAATGTCATTAAAAGGAAGAAAACAGCAGCTTTGAAATCATATGACCTGTTACCTTTATAAACATTTGCATTCTTGTTTATCAGGTGAGACCAAAGAGCAGGTGGCTAACTCTGCCTTTGTGGAATGTCTTCGCAAAGCCGGTCTGGAGGTGATCTACATGATCGAACCTATTGACGAGTACTGCGTGCAGCAGCTGAAGGAGTTTGAGGGCAAGAACTTGGTTTCAGTGACCAAAGAAGGTCTGGAGCTACCTGAGGATGAGGAAGACAAGAAAAAGCAGGAAGAGAAGAAAACTCAGTTTGAGAACCTGTGCAAGATAATGAAGGATATCTTAGAAAAAAAAGTGGAGAAGGTGAGCTAAATGATGAAACGTTGTGTAGACATCTATAGTCTCACTTTGTGCATGTAACTGATAACAGTTTATTTTAATAATTATTTACAGGTCACTGTCTCCAATCGCCTGGTGTCCTCCCCCTGCTGCATAGTTACCAGCACCTATGGTTGGACAGCAAACATGGAGAGAATCATGAAGGCCCAGGCTCTGAGAGATAACTCTACCATGGGCTACATGGCTGCTAAAAAGCACCTTGAAATCAACCCTGACCATCCCATATTGGAGACCTTGAGGCAGAAGGCAGAGGCTGATAAGAATGACAAATCTGTGAAGGATCTGGTCATCCTTCTTTTTGAGACTGCCCTGCTGTCCTCAGGATTTACCTTGGATGACCCTCAGACCCACTCTAATCGCATCTACAGAATGATCAAACTGGGACTGGGTTGGTGTCTATTACTGACAATAAAATAAATAGTAATAAATATTCTGTGAGATGGGTGATAGTAGACCTGGTTCCACTCATTTCTATCTTTGTCTCTCCAGGCATTGATGAAGATGATCAGTCATCGGAAGATGCTACGTCAGCTCCAACTGAAGAAATGCCTCCTCTTGAAGGTGATGATGATGACGCATCCAGGATGGAGGAGGTGGATTAGAAAGTCTATCTGTGACCTGTAGACATGCTAGTGATCCACAGAATGTCCCGAAACCAACTTTTCTTTGACCAATCTTTTGTATTTCCTCCATTCCATGGTTCCAATCTGTTTGATTCAGAACTTTTTATTTTTTAATTTATTATTGTTATTCTATTTTCTGTCTCTTTTTTATATTTATTGGTTTTCCAATGTTTTGTGTTTAATTATTATTGGATTTAAAAAATGTCCTTCAGTATAACATTGGGACCAACAATAAAGGTTTAACACATTTAAAATTATTTGTGTCATCCTTCAAAAATGTGTATGAAGAGTCAATAAGTGGGCTAATATCCAAAATTTAATTAGAATTAACATATAGATAGGATGTATACATTCACGATTACGATTTACTTTCAAGAGAAAGAAAAGAATCTATTACTTATTATGCATCTTCATTCATAGGAAAAAAAAATTAAATTGTTCTAGTGCCCTGAGAGTTGTCAATGTTTTGTTTGTGAAGTATCCGGGAGGGGAGCAAGGGCGGTTACACTTTCTACTTTCAATTTCTTGATGCCGCCAGCAGAGGGCTCCTAGTCTTCTTTGCACTGTACAGTCTCACACTAAGACACTGGTGTCAGATGACCGACAGCAGCCAATCACAGTGTGGGGACAGAGCACCGCCTTGCAGTTCTCGTGCCCTGAGAGTTGTCAAGGTTTTGGTTGTGGAGTATCCGGGAGGGGAGCAAGGGCGGCTACGCTTAAACAATGCCGAATAAATCTAAAAAAGACAAGGTGAGTTTTGAGTTTTGCATTATTGTTGCATTGGAGAATTGCCCTTATGGTATTTTTTGCATTTACAGTGCCGGCATCGTGAGGGAACGTTAAGCTCATAGCACCGCTGTGTCCCGTCACTTATGCTAGCCGATCAGCAAACACCAGCTAATCGCAACCCCACCAACATGTTAGCAATTGGCACGTTGTGATTTCTGTTTTTAGTCTACATCCTTTTATCAATGCAAGTCATTTAAATGCACATAATTTCCCACATAGCTTCTGTGTGTTCTCGTGTAAATGTAACCCTTTGGAATGCTTTAAAATCCAAATGGCACTGAGAGAGAAACTAACGTCAGCTAGCTCGCAGATTTATCAGGGTCTTCAAAGAGCAGTGGGTAGACTGAGAAGGCAGGCGTGCTATATTTAGTATGGATTTTGCCTCACGGCTTTCACTTGCAGACGTCTCGTTGTTGTTGTCAGCCTACGTTTGAAGCCAAGGTGACGTATGTATCAAAACTTTGTCTTCCAGGAGTCTTCTAAGTCTGCTAAAGTGGGCAAGAGTGGAGGACAGGAGAATGCAGAGCATGAGGTAGGCTTATCAGTCAGCCAATCAAACAATATTAGACACTTCCCGGAGCACAGTGGGTCAGTTCTTTGTCTGACACATGTTCAAATGCCATATTGTATTATTACCGTTAGAGTTGGATCTCATTATCAGCGAGTTAATGAATCATTACACCCAATCTGTGCAATCAGTACATGGCAATCTTTGAGGTAAATCTGGTTCATGGACCATGCTTAAAGAAAATACAATATATACTAAAGTCCATGACCTGGTATTGCGCTTTGTAATAAAACCTTATCTGTCAAGGAAAGGATACAAGGGGAAGTATAATTTAAATGACCAACACTGTCCCCAGCAATACACTACAAGCACCAAGTGAGGAGCTTGTTTTCATGTCAAATTGAATTAATTGAGAATTGCATTGTAGTTGCTGGTGCAGCTTTTGCACATCCTGCTTTATAAAAGACTGGATCTTGTGGCAGTTTTGCAGTGAACAGTTACAACCCTAAACTATAGTACCATTCAAGCAAACACACTGATGTTTGAAATGCTATCAATGGTACCTTTAAAATTATGCACATCTCTGTTCCATGGCTACTGGTGCAACCCCCCAGCATTGTCTTGTGGTGCATCTCAGATTACCCTTTAGCAACGCAAATTTTATTGATTTCCTGCATATAAAATTGAAATGTAGCTTTGCATGATGTAGTTGTGCTGCTAGGAGTGTTTTAAATATAGCTTGCACTGTGTAAAACAACAGTCACTTCCTGATGCTGTCCTAAATCCATCTCACTTTGTCCACGGCAGGATCATGTCATTTTGTTAAAAAACCAATATCACGTAAGGTCTTGTAGGTCGTGCAAATTTAGCGGAGCTTCCTGCACATTAACTTTGTGCAAAGGTGTTTCCTGAATCCTAAACCTTTTGTCACATTAATATTAAGTGCTCATGGTGACAGGCCTGCAAATTTTGCTATCTTGTGCTGAAAAATCAACCAGACTCTTGGTGGATGCTCCTTGTGAGCCTCATCTTAATCCTTCCAAACCTATGTCTCCCATCTTCCCTCTCTTACTCGGCCTGCATCCAAACACTTTTGAGGGTGTTGCATTTTTTTAATTTCTAAATTAGTTTGTGTGTCCTAAATATAGATATACTTGTCAGTGCAAGTAGTTTGACCTTTTGCTAGTCTGATATATGCAGTCACAGTTTTATAAGAACTACATCCTTTTACAGATTAATCCTACAGTAGACAATAAAAATGCAGGCTGCTTAATGCTTTCCTATAATAGTGTTTTATGCTTTGTAATTACAAAGGGGTCACATGGTGTAAAGTTAAGTAAACATTGTCAACGTAGTGTTTTCATCCGTTGCTTAGTTTAGAAAGTAAATGGCTGACAGAGTTTAAAGATATAAATAAAAAATAAAAATAAAATGGAAGAAATACGTGTATTTGAATATAGTTTGGTTTAATGGGATATATGCATACAGATGTATATAAAATGAATGATCTGCCATCAACTAAAATAGTAATGTTTTTCATAGGTAATGTCATGCCTTAATAAACTAAAACTTCAGCATTTGGACAGCCTGATCAGCACGGCCATATTAATTTAGTATCCTCACATGGTTTCAATTGATATTTATGACAATGGTTACATAACCTGGCACTGTCTTGCAGAAGACATGGAGACACAAGATATTTCATTAGACATGTCTGTCTAGCATATGGCAGTCAGGCTCCTTGGCTGGTGGCTACAGGCACACAGTCGTGGTGTAATCCTGCAGAAACGCCTCCTTACAATGTGTTTACCTTCGTTGTCACTGAGGTGCATTGTTTTTTTGTTTTTTCTTCTTCTTTGCTTTCAGCAGAGCTCGAACAGGAAGGCTAGCAATAGTGTTCCCCCTACCACTCAGCTGCTGAAGGGGAAACAAGCTGGTTCCCAGACACCTGTCAAAAAAGACAAGAGACAGAGCTCCTCTCGCTTCAGCCTGAGCAACAACAGAGAGCTGCAGAAATTGCCTGCATTCAAAGGTATTTACCTAAACAACAGTTAATTTGCTTGATGAGTTCATTAGATTATTTATGTACACCTTTCTAATTGTTTGACCTACATGGGAAATGGAAGGACCGCAACTGATATTGTTCAGTAAAACAGGTTCCTTTCGAGATGAGTCAAAGATGATCAAAGATGAGTACCAGCTTCACACAAGCAGACACAGTTATTCACCACGAGGCAATGTTTGAACTTCTTCAACTGTGTCACCCTCAATTTAACACTGAGCAATGTTTGACCTAACGCAATACGTGGAAAGAGAGGATGTGCTCGGCATGGACTTCGTGCTGGATTTAACTCCTGTGTCTATGTTTAGTAATAATCCTGAGATAAATCTCTAATTCTTTGCTCCTAGTTATTCGTGTTCCTGATGACCAAACTCTTCTCCTCCACTAGCAGAGGAAATACTCCATTAGTGCTCATTAGTAAAAGTGTATTGATATTTACATTGATGCTGGGGCCCTTCAGTAGGTATAACAACAAACAGAAAGGCGAAGTCTGTGTTTAGCTCACAGAATGTGGATGCACGAAAGGGCATAACAGTATGTTATAACAATGTTGTAAAAAGAAAATGTTATAGTTGGATACTACTATTTTGTATAGCATCATAGCAAAGTTATAATAGTGATTAATCACGTCAACGTGCTGCACCTAAAACAAAGGCGAGACATTCCTCAAAGAAGATTCACCTCTTGTTATGTACCTAATTAGACCCTCCATTTTGAATCTGTAATTATGGACCAAAATAAAGTCACAGTCTTGAAGCTGCAGTAGCTGTTCTTTTTAAATAGAAGTAATATTTTATTCCTGTAGAATTACATTTATAGGAAACAAGATAAGTTTATTCTTGTACAAACTATGTCTTTATCTTTAACTGGTTAGCCATTACCTCTGTGCTGTGTCAGGCATAGCTTAATTTCTGATAAAGGTTGCTCACCTCACACACTCCGGTGACAAGTTCGATAACATTCTGCAAACCATTATTGTGCAGTGACTTGGCAGATGTTATCTCTCGGCCCTGTCCAGACAGGCTCCTCGCTTGGACTGCTTTTTATGCTGAGCAAATTCCCCACCTCCTGGTGTACATCACATGTCCCTGAGCCTGTCCTGCATGGACACGAGATGCAGAATAAGATTCTTTCCTTGAAATTAGTGTGTGAATTCACACGAGTGTAGCACCAGGGAATATTTTTTGATAAATTTGGCAGTCAGCTCTTTGTTTTGTAAGACTTTCTCTCTTGCTTTTATGTAAGTACTTCAAGTAGAAAAGAGAGCACAAAATCCTTCAGTCTGCAATTCATTTGTTTACATTTTTGCTATTATGAATAGCTGGTAAAAAGCTCAGAAAAAACAAATGTTGTGTTCTCTGTGAAAGTATTAGCTTTCCTGGTAGAACTCTCGTTTTCGTCGCCATCTGCTGGTCATTTTGCAAAGGAAGAATACCGGTACTTGCCTCAAACTACATTATTTATCACATAGGCAAAAACCCCTGAGGAGTCACTGTGATAACTTAGGATTTGAGGATCGTTGCAGAACTTTATGTTTAGAAGCAACCTTGAAATGTCACGTGCTACAGTTCTCACTGAAAGATGTGTAAATATTAGCTGAAGAAGCCTAGTCAGGTTTCAGAGACGGATTTCCTCTGCGACTCCTGCAGGTATTCGAGGAAAAGGTTTTCATAACTCAGGAGAATGACTTCCTGAGTAAACATGACTTATGAAAATACACCAATGAAGACAATCACTGCCTGTGATCGGGTGTTTGAACGTGGCCATCTTGTACCACGTTTGGATTCTCTATGTGCATTGTATTTAGATATGTTTACAGATAAGTTTAAATGATCTGAGTCGGACGTTCACCTTCATCTAATGCAGACTTATGATGCCTCATGAGCTTGTCCTCCTGCTGCTGCCACACACACACAATCACACACTGTTGTGAAAAGCACGAGTCCAGACAAATGTAAGCGCCAGAGGATCATTTGGAGAGCATCTGTAACAAGTGTCTGCATTTACCGTTTATCTTGTCTTCATCTGAACAAAAGACCTTCAGATGGGAGTTTACCCCATGACTGGGGAGTTGTATGGAAAGAAAGAGGCCTTTATGCTGTACGCCCTGATTAGATCCTACAATTGTGACCGTCTCTTACTTTATATATCAGAATCAGACTATTTGTGAGTTTCATCGTACCAGACCTTGCCGTCTGCTTCACCGTTACTCACTGCATATGCACATTCTGTGGTGCTCATGTTGAGACTTCCTGTCTTCCTGTTTCTCTGTCACATACACTTGGTCTCAGGCTGTGCTCCTGGAGAGCCATCTGTCATGCAGAAACACACACTCAGACACATACAAGCTGTTCACACAGGTGCAGGGGGGCGACCGGGTGAGGAGTGTGGGGGGGCTTTCATATGTTACCTGTAGCAGTTTTTTGGAGTTTATTGTTGCTTATTTTGTAGTATGGAGTTTGTAGTCTGGAGTGTATGCAGTGGATAAGAAGTGTCACGTTTCTCTCAGAGGCAGTTGACAGACAGGATGTGGCATTAAATTCTGTTTTATTTATTTCCAAAGTGGAACCTATAGTTTGATTTTAAAACTCCTCACAGATGCAGCTCCTCTTGGAGTCCAGCCCCTTCCTTTCTAGCCCACCAGCCAGTCCCTTCCCTCATGTTTATTTATTCTGAAAGATAGGCCATGTGACCGCAGCCAGCCAACCAGGCAGCTGCAGTGGGGGATGACATCACTAACTAGCTGGTTCCCTCCAGCAGCAGGGGAGCTTCATTTTCTGCTCTGGCGTTCGTGTTAAAATGGAGGCTGGCTCCTCGTCTTAGCCTGGGCTGAGCTTCTTCCCCCCTTTATCCTGTCTCTGCTCACTGATGTCGGCATGTTCTGGGGCTGACAGTGACATGGTTCTGGATGCACCGGGCACCAATGGGCCTTTTCAGCCTGTTGCCCTCATGCATTTTAGAGGTGAGGATAAGAATTGTGTGCTGCTGTGTTTCTGTGGTATAAGTGAGCAATGAGCAATGTTTTTCTGTTTACACAGTAGAAGAAAAGTTGTTGCAAGAATATTTACTTTTAAAGTAAGTGGCATAAGAGTCTGTGGGGAGGAAAGGAGGGAGATTGTTAGTATGTCAACAAGGAAAAGGTATTTGTGAAGACTTGACTTTAGTATGGATTATCTGAGGGTGGAACGGGGAAAGGGAGTAAGTTCTGTGTCCCCCATGCGCCCCCTAACCCCTGCTAATATCATAGGAAGTGAGGTCAAAGCTTGTTGTGTCTCCAGCATGTCTAAACTAGTCACTCACAACAATTGCACTGGATGGACTGCTGCCTTTAAACGGGTCCCTGTGTAACGAATGCAAAATTATTTACAGTCGATCATTCTTTGGACGTTCAACATTAAATGGTCGCAGACACAGTTCTACACATTAGAGTGCACAGTGACATTTTTGTGTCTGCATTCATTTCAAACAGAGGAAATATATGAGGAAAAAAGTGAGCTAAAATATTTTTTAAAAAAGCATTATTTATTAATTATGTATGTACAGTCTGTGCAGTATACAGTTGGCATTTGGTTATGCAAAACCTAAGGTGAAGTAGTCAAAGTCCTAAAGCTGGGCCCAGTGTGCTTGTTTGCATGACCTACATCTGAACAGACCCAAAGGTTTAAAAGTTCAGGCCATTTTATTATTTTGCAATTAAGTAAATGATGCATCTTGCAGTGTAACCTTTGTCGTCTTTTGAACCATTTGAGCTCACCCAGGGCGTACTGTGTGCAGCGTGAAGCCTTCAGATGAGTAAAAGTTATTTGCCCATTCATGCAGGGTGGTGAATGTGTGAAGTCTGCAGATGCACAGCCTGCCTGTTAATATTTTAGAGCCTTTCAGAAACCTTAGTGCTGTTGTGTAACATGAGCCTCTTGACCTCTCTGCTCCTATGGACCGATCTCAGCTGGACCCATTTTTTTTTTCAGATTCTTTTAGGTTGGATACAGTTGGAGCTAAGTCTGAAGATGTACTAGATTTAGGTTAGTTGATTTGTTAAACCCTCATATTGCATTGATCTGCAATTACATTTGCTAAATGAAGAAACTGCTGGGAATTGGCAAATTGAGAAAAGAAAAGTCACTGTAATAATTAAGCCTTTTTTTGTTGCAAATTTAAATACAGTTGTCGGGAATCAAAGAAAAGCCACTGTGTTAATAGCTGACGTGCACATTGGAATCAGTTTACACAGATATTAACCTACACTTTTATCATGTATATGTTTGTCCTATTTAGAAAGGCATTTTAAACCATTTTAAAACCACTGGGTATGGTTTTAAAGATTCATTTAAAAATAGTCTTTGAGAAACTGTTTGTCTGCAGTTATGTTTAATGATCTAGTCTTAATTGCAGTCATGTGATTGAAAAGGTGTGTAGCGCTTGCTCCGATAAAGCAGGATTATTCCCATAAAGTTGACTTTTGGCTTTTTTTAATGTAATTTTCAATTGATAAATAATGTTTTTGATTTTTGTGCATGTAGTTTGACTCAATGGAATGATATTCTGAAATGAAAAAAAAGCAAATGCCGTTCCTGACTCAATTACTGACACATTAAAGGCATCTCCGTTCAGTAATGATTAATTATATATTGACTAACTGTTTCTACTGTTTTGAGCCATGTTTTCTGTGCTGCTGTCATGTCCTCTGGCAACAGCAAATGAGCAGCATATGATCCCAGAGCAACAGCAGCCTGTCTGCATCTGTGGTCACTCACAGGTCCAAAGTCCTGTCTGTATCCTTGGTCACCCTGGTGACGCACTTTACATGCACTAATTGTTTATAGAAGAGATGAGAACAATAAATCACAGGTTGTGACAAATAAAACACAGGTCGGTTACAAAGGTGTACATCAAGGCTAGTTTTTTTCTATTCTTGTCTCTAAAACAGTTATTTTTTTAATGTATTTCTGCATTTTTAACCATTGATGTTTGATGGTCAGGGGGTTAATATTGACTTAAAACCGTTCAAACTTGCCATTAAGTCATCAAGTCTTTGTGAGATCTATTCAGCTGATTGCAGTTTGTGTTCATAAACATGGGCTTCTCATTATTTGTTCCTCACATTGATTCATTTAATGCAACACTTTTGTGGCACTGATGATTCATTGAGGCTGGCTAAGAGCTGATGCTGGAACATTGAGCAGCAGGGACATAAACAAAATGATTTTTAAACCGTAGGTAAACGCCTACACACTGACAGGTTTGGCTTTTTCTCACTCAAGGCCCACTTAGAGCTTAAAGGCAGCGTTGACGCCGGTTAATTATGAATTCTTGGAGTCTTTACAGGTCAATCCATGAATTCAGAGAAAAGTGATTTGTTACAGATTAAAAAGAAATTTTCAGCTGCAGTATGTCTAAAGACATTATCTTTACTTATAAAATGTGTCTTAAGTTTTCTTTAGATGTGAAGAAAAGTCAAGTTTGTAGTAAAAAAGTGACTATTATGAGGGTAGAAAGAACAATGAAGTCAGATATAAATTCTAACCGATTTTAAATAAAATAAATAAAAAAAACATACAGGACATCTCTTCACACCCAACACTTTATTCAAACTACCTCATTCCCCATGTCTTGCAGATGTCCCCCCCGCGGAGCAGGAGAAGCTCTTCATTCAGAAGTTGCGGCAGTGCTGCGTCCTCTTTGACTTCGTCTCCGACCCACTGAGCGACCTGAAATGGAAGGAGGTGAAGCGGGCGGCGCTGAGCGAGATGGTGGAGTACATCACCCACAACAGGAACGTCATCACCGAACCCATTTACCCAGAGGTGGTTCATGTGGTAAGTATTACGATGAACTACTGTGGTGACATGCTTTTATACCTACAGTATACTTCATTTATTAAATTGAATAAAATAGTTTTACTTTTTTTTTATTTAATTTTTTAGATGCTATACAGAAAAAAACAAATTAAAAATTGTCCAAACATATATGCTCGTCTTAATTGGAAGATTAAATCTAAATGCTATTCTTTTATGAAGCGACTTTTATCATCAGTATTATCCATTACTTATTGATGTGTGGAATTAACCTTGCTGACCTACAGCTTAACCTGAAGATCCATGGACATAAACATGCACTCTTGTATAAACTCCAGATCTGATTCTTTCCGTTCACACATACATTTAATTCTATGTAACCTTATCATTCAGCTCTCCACACACCTATTATCTGTGTCCTGCTGGGCTTGTAGAGCGTCATTGTGTTCGTGGGGCCAGGTTCCCGAGGCACGATGAAAAAAGGCCTTTGATGATAATCAAAGACCTGCGTCAATGCCTCACCGTAAACAGCGGATGATCAACGTGCAAATTTCCCCTTCTGTCCTCATCCAGGATTCATTTGATCAAAGCAGCTGAAAAAGTAACGCTTGCTGTTGAATCAGCATGAAAATATACCCTCCTTCCTCACAGGCCCTTCACTCTGCCCTCTCCAAGATAAGGACAGCTTGAAGGTTACCGTCAGATTTTATCATCAAAGTGTTGCGTCGCCGACTACACACTCCAGTTATAGTCATGAACAGTGTGTTCTGATCTGCTGCCCAAAAGCTTTAAAACAATATTTTTAAAGCCAGTGATGTTGTTATTTTGGAAGAAGAAAGAAGTGGATTCTTCTTTGACAGTGGAATCTGTCAGATTTGAAAACTTGCAGTTCAACGTCGAGTATCTGCTGTTAGAGCTGCTGTCGTTATTCTTTGTTTAGGTTGTGAATCACCTCCCCGTCTGTTTGTTCCCCAGTTTGCTGTGAATATGTTCAGGACGTTGCCGCCGTCATCCAACCCCACAGGAGCCGAGTTTGACCCTGAGGAAGACGAGCCTACGCTAGAGGCTGCCTGGCCGCATTTACAGGTAATGCATCACACACATCAACACGCAAAGACAAACTTTTTTTTTTTTTGAAGGACAATGGTACAGTAACTAAACTTCCTCACCTTCAACAACGAAAGATTCTGCTTCTCTCCCACAGCTCGTGTATGAGTTCTTTCTACGCTTTTTAGAGTCACCAGATTTCCAACCAAACATAGCCAAAAAGTATATCGACCAGAGGTTTGTAATGCAGGTGAGCACCGCTGAACCATTGCACCATTTCTGTTTGTCATTTTTTGTTTTCCTTTGGTTATTTCTGTATAAATAAAAACTTTCTTTGGATCAGC